AAATTCTATGTATGCTAAAGGAAGCATTTCAAATTACTGACAATGAGATGACTGATTGCTACTTGGAGAAATATAGTATCTTCCATACTTATGCCACAATAAATTCCAAATGGAAAGAAGAACTAAATGTAAAAAATGAAGCCATAAAAGTACTAGAAGAAAATATAGATTATTCCTTTATAACCTGATGTGGGAAAAGGCTTTCTTACTAATACTAAAAATCCAGATTTAATAACACAGTATCACAAAGAATTTATAAATTTGACTATATAAAAACAAAAGTAAAATAAAACAAAACAACAGCAGCAGCAGCATTTCTACCTGACCGATAGAAAGAAAATCATAAGCAAAGTTGAATCAAATGGCAGACTGAGATAAAAGGATTTGCAATGCATCTAATAAAGAACTGATATCTCTAATATATAAATAAAATCAAAGAAAAAGAGTAAAAACTTTATTGGAAAAAATGGGCAAACTACACATAAATAGCCCTTAAGTAATATGGATATTTACTCAATTTTACTCAAAATACAAGAGAAGAAATTAAAACTATGCAGACATGCCATTTCTCACTGTCATACTGGTGAAAACTCAACTGCTTCACCAATATTCTATTGATGAGATTCTGAAGAAATGTCACTCTCATATATTGTAAGTAAGAGTGTAAAACAGTCCAATCCTATGTAAAGGAATCTGACAACAGTCACTAAACCTTGGTCTAGCAATCCCATCAATAACCATTTACCCTAAAAATATATCTCTAATAATATGAAAGACAACAAGCATCAGGTTATCAATTGAGGAATTATCTGAGATAGTAAAATATTGTCAACAACCTAAATGCCCATCCCTGGGACAATGGTTGAATAAACTATGACACAAATAGATCGTGGAGTAGTATGCGGCAATAAAAAATATCCAGGAAGATATCCATGAACTGACATGTGGTGATTTACAGGATACACTGTTCAGTGAAAAAAGCAGGAGGCGGCTTGGTGCCTGTGGCTCAAGTGGTTAAGGCGCCAGCCACATACACCTAAAGTGGCGGGTTCAAATCCAGCCAGGGCCCGCCAAACAACAACAATGGCTGCAACCAAAAAAAAAATAGCTGGGCGTTGTG